ACTTGACACCGTGTTCTCTCTTTATATGCAAGTCTACTGGAAAGCCAAAGGATTGAGTCAATACGACCTGTCAATACAGCCATTTTCACTATGCCTGGAAAAAGGTCACATGCTTTAGGTGCATCCTGTACCAAATCTTGTTGATGTTTTTCATGTGTTAATACATTCAGCCCTAATAGTCCAGCCCTGTGTCAAAAATGCCTTTGCGTTTCTCTGCTGTGTCCATATTAGGTGCTTAAGCGCTCATTGCTTGAAGGTAATTGTGCTTTCCTGAATATTTTAAGAGGGGAAATCCATATTGAATATTGATCTCTCTTCATATTGTACCTCCTACATATGCAGCAGACGACACAGAACCATGTAGGATGAAGTGCTAAATTATATGGTCTAGGCTACATGAGCCAGACAGACAAATCAGAAAAGAAGAGAGGTTGGTGTGGGCTGAAACGCTGAAGAAGGGTTTTGTGTGCAGCACCGATGAGACTTGAATTCTTTAAAAATTTGAAATTTAGGGAAAAAATAAGGAAGCAGGAAGTAGGAGCATTGTAATAAGCAGTGTAGAAGATAAAAATGATGCTTGATACTGGGGAGTAGTGCTCTCATTTTCTGGTTGCTGCCCTCCCAGTGGAGGTGCCCTTCCAGTGGCACCCAGGATTGGGCCTTTTTGACCGAAGAAGTATATAAGACAGTGTGGAAAGCCTGGTCATTAATCCTGACTCTGTCGCTTAGGGTCCTCATTTGCACTGCCCGGATGTCAGTGTCCACATGTGTAAAATACCACCTACCTTATGATTTTTGTTGTTAGGATTAAGTCAGAGAGTGTATATGAATGTTCCTAGTGCATAGTAGGCACTGAGTAAATGTTAGCTGAATCGAGTTGATTTCTTTTTCTTTTTTATGTTTATTTTTTGAGAGAGAAGGAGAGAAAGATTCACAAGTACACTCCATTCTGCCAGCACAGAACCCAACAGGGGGCTCGAGCTCGCAAACTGAGATCATGACCTGAGCCAAAACCAAGAGTCAGACACTTAACTGACTGAGCCACCCAAGCGCCCCTCGAGTTGATTTCTTTGGGAAGAAATTTATCCTAATTTATAGATTGCCAAGTCACCTGCAATTCCTGTGGTGGCTGATGGGACCTTATATAGAGGTAATATCATGGCCTGCTTACAGATGAGCTCAGTATACCGTGTCCCAAAGTTCTATGTTATGCCCCAAGAGCTACTGTGGTTTTCTTTAAATGGTCCCATTCAGCCTTCAAAATCTTAACAAAGTTGTTGCCAAATATTTCAGTCCTAATTGGTTTAATTTTCTTCGTTGTAGGTGCGGAATGGCCACATCAAAAGAATCACTGATAATGACATCCAGTCCCTGGTGCTAGAGATTGAAGGGACGAATGTCAGGTAGGTGGCCCCTCTGCTCACCCAGAGACCTGGTACACCAGGGAGGCAGTACGTCACAGAAGTTAATAAGCACAGACTGTGGCACCGAGTGCCTGGTGTGGATCCAGCTCACTGCTTACAGCATACCTTGGACAAGTTACTTAACCCACAGGCCTTAGTTTCCTCATCTGTAAAATAGGGATAGTAACAGGACACCTTCCTTAGAGGGTTGTTGTGAAGATTAAGTAAGCAAATTGTGTATAAAGCACTTAAAGCCTGCTCAGCACATAGTAAGTGCTGTATGTTAGTTATATTATTATTAATAAGTAACCAAGGCTGTGGGTGTGGGCGGAGGGATGGCACCGGTCATAGTAGATGGCGTGTGCCACTGTGTGGCTCTCTGTGCCACAGTGGTCCTAGTTTACGTTTTCTATCACTTGATGCTTCTCTTAGACCAGAACTGAGTCTTCTCTCACTGGAGGAAATTCCTCAGATCGCTGGCCTGGCTTTGTTTTTCAGGTTATTTTTTTGTTGATGTCTAGCTCTGTGTTCAGCTTTTGTTTCAGAGTCCAGCGTTGTGTTTTCTTAAGCACCAGCTGATTCAAGGATTGAGGATTGGGTGAGGTATCTGGCTCTTTTAGATCTGCTTTCCAACTTACCTCTTGGACCGAGTGTTTTTGCTGTGTGTACCACAAGGGAAGTGCTTACCAGTGTCCCCTCTCTCTGCAGCACCACGTATATCACCTGTCCCGCAGACCCAAAAAAGACATTGGGGATTAAACTGCCCTTCCTTGTCATGATTATCAAAAATTTGAAGAAATACTTTACCTTTGAAGTACAGGTTAGTATATGCACATGAATGTGTACACTCTCAGCTATACCATAGGGATAGCTCATCAACTTGCAAGAAAAAAAATAGCTCTAGGAAAGTATCTTTAGTCTTTTGTATGTATTTTTAAAAACAAAATTTTTTTTTAATCTTTATTTATTTTTGAGAGAGAGACAGAGAGACAGAGAGAGCAAGGGAGGAACAGAGAGAGGGGGAGACACAGAATCTGAAGCAGGCTCCCGGCTCCGAGCTGTCAGCACAGAGCCTGACACGGGGCTCGAACCCACGAATTGTGAGATCAGGACCTGAGCCGAAGTAGGAGGCTTAACCGACTGAGCCACCCACGCATCCCGTATTTTTTTTTTAAAGTTTATTTTTTATCTTGAGAGAGAGAAAGCATGAGTCAGGGAGGGGAAGAGAGAGAGAATCCCAAGTAGGCCCTGCTCTGTCAGCACAGAGCCTGACGAAGGGCTCGAACCCAAGAACCGTGAGATCCTGACCAGAGCCAAAGTCTGACACTTAACTGACTGAGCCACCCAGGAGCCCCTGTATGTATTCTTTTCTGCTTCTACTACACACTTGATGCAGCCGTTATTATACGGCATAAATTTGGTATCAATTTGGTAGTCAAACTTTAATGGCACGTTTTTAAAGAAGCAGTAGGCACCTAGGAAGTCTGAACAACAGCTGTAAGTTTCAAAGCTTAAAGGTTAGAGTAGTGTCCATTTAATACTGGTTATTGTTGGTCTCTGTTCTAGTATTTTTGATTTTTGAAGTGGAAGAATGTTTATGAAATCTTCTATGGTCTGTGGGCCCTCGGGTGTGTCATGTGTCATAAGCAGCTGGTGTTGTCTTGGCAACGGACAAGATAAACTTGCTACTTCCGGGCCATCTGCATCCAGTGTGACCTGTATCTGGTCTGTGTATTCTCCCTTGGGTCTCAGCCTTGGGAAACTGGGCTGTGGGAGTTCAGGCCCTTGTCTTATACCCAGGTCGTTTGCTTCTTCCAAGGTAGAGTTCATGTGACTCTTTTTCAATATGTCATAGGTACTAGATGACAAGAATGTGCGTCGGCGGTTTCGGGCAAGTAACTACCAGAGCACCACCCGAGTCAAACCCTTCATCTGTACCATGCCCATGCGGCTGGATGATGGCTGGAACCAGATTCAGTTCAATCTGTCAGACTTCACACGGCGGGCATATGGCACAAATTACATCGAGACCCTGAGAGTGCAGGTGCTGGCTCCTTTTCTTGTGGAGTGCCAAACGGGAGAGGAGAGTGTGCTCTGCCTGTTCCTGGCTTGTGGCCCTGGTGACAGAACAGTGTGGGTTTTTGGCTAAGGTGCCCAAGTCACTCTCCAGAGGGCTCGGAGAGGTCCAGGCCATATTCAGGTGTCTGCTCAGATATAGTGGGAGAACACAGCAAGCAAAATATCCCTCTTGCCAGACTCCATCCCTAAGCCATGCTGAGGAGAGGCCAAAGAGATGAAGCTTTGACAGCCTCGTGGGAGGAACTCTAGGAGAATCAGGAAAAGAGGAAGGGCAATCCTATTTTGTCTCTTAAAATAAGTCTTGCACCCACAGATCCACGCAAACTGTCGCATCCGACGTGTTTACTTCTCAGACAGACTCTACTCAGAAGATGAACTGCCGGCAGAGTTCAAATTATATCTCCCAGTTCAGAACAAAGCAAAGGTAAGCCAGCCTTCCTTGGAGGAAGGCCAGACGGTGAGTTGGGGGAGCTAGAAAGTGCTCTATTCTGAGTTGGGTTGCAGAGCCTCTCAGTGCTGACGTGGGGTCTGGAGTACCTTTCATTGTAAGATGTTGGGTCTTCTTCCAACATCAGCACTGAATCAGGATCGGTCCTGGGAAATGTTCTGTGACTGTTGTCTCCACCTCCACAAGGTGGTCCTGCCTCTCCCTGGGCGGCGTCCTGCTGCTTCCTGCTCACGGGCCTTCCTTGGAGAATATCTTCCATCTGAACAAATTCCTGTCAGCCCATCGGTCTCCTCTGACACAATGCTGGGTGCTTCTTCCATGCCTGCCTGCTGCTGACATTGCGCATTTCTGCACAGTCCAGTGTCCCCTCCAGTGTCACCAGAAAGGGGAAGGCAGGTCGGTGGCATTGACCATCTATTTTTCTGATTGCCTCTTCTCTTTGTTTCTTTTTCTCCAGCAATAACTAGAATGCAACTCAAGGGATGTCGGACCCTGGACATGGCTCTTAGTTTGAAAAGGAAACTAACTGGAGGACAATACAAAAAACAAATATTTCTATTAGTTTACTGTGCTGTGGTTCTTTTATCTACTACTTGGTGTCCTTTGTTGTGGACACCAGTGACCATGCCAGAATGCCATCCTCGCGTTGCAAGTGCCGTGGGGGGTAGGCCGGGCTCTGGTGCACGAATGCTGGACTTTACCCAGCTGCCTGCCCCAGTGTGTGGAGACACATTTACCAGGAACTATAGAATTAAAGATGTTCCCTAAAGCAATTTCAGACCAATATTTCTTCCTACGGTTTATTCATTGTTTTATATATTATCTAAATGTATGTATATGCTGTGTAATACTCATAATCTGGAAATGAATAAAATGCTATATTCTTGGTTTGTAAATTTGGGTTTTTTGTTTGTTATTTTAGAAGGAGAGAGAACATGAGTGGGGCGGAGGAGGGGTGAGTCAAGGGGGAAGGGGAGAGACTCTTCAGCAAGCTCTGCACCCAGCGTGGAGCCCAACGTGGGATGTGATCCCACAACCCTCAGATCATGACCTGAGGCCGAAATCAAGGGTTGGACGCTCCACCGACTGAGCCACCCAGGCACCCCAGTAAATTTGTTCTTAGTTTATTTTTTTAATGATATTTTTCTTTCCTTTGTGATGTGAACATAGAGCTCTTTCCAAAGCACATCCCATACGCTCATGCTGTGAAATATCTTGTGGTAAGCACTTACAGGACAAGACATCTGTACAGATACTGATTTATAACAACTCCAAGCTACACTAAATGGGGAAAAATGTGAACAGCATATGATCAGTAGAATCATCTTAGTAGGCATTGGGGCCCGAGTCAAGCTTAAGACAAAATGGCATCTAGTCCAGATTGCTCTTAATTCCCTTAGCAAGTTGTCACATTGGAGCCCCACATGCTCTTTTGTAACCACACCTACTGTCCCTCAGCATTGGAGCCCATCACCAATGGGCTTGAATTTAGGGACTTCCAGGAAAAGTGTTTCTCTAAACACTCGAATCACATAAGGGAGCTGAAAGCTTACCCCACACCCTCCCTTATACTGCTTCTTGGGCATATGGTCCCTCAGTGGGATGGCCAACCCCGGCACAAATAGTTATATTCACAGAAGTTAAACACTTCCATGATGCGACTACCCTGTGTAAATTCGCTGGGGGGCGGAGAGGGGTGGGCAGGGAGGAAGCAGTTTAGGGGCAGAGAAGAGCATGGGCGGATATGCCAGATCTTGAAGGATACAGTTAAACTAGTACAGTGACTACATCTGGAGACAATAGTTATTGTGTCATTTGTAGACTTTGTGTACTATAAAAAAATGTTTTTGAAAAGTAATGTAAGAATTTCAAAGTCAAGAACAAAAGGCCATTCTAGATACTGGGCCCTCCCGGGGAATCCCCCCCTGGGTCTGGTTTCGTCCCAGAGGGATGATGCTGGAAGCGTGGGCACCAGCCACTTAGACTTCGGTGAGACATAAAAACCGTGCTGAATTTGCTGTTGCCATCACAGCCTTCTGTGAAAGTAAATGGCAAGAAGCGCTCCTCTCCCACAACCCGTACCCTCCAGAGTGCGCTGCGGGTAAGCAGCAGACCTCTGCCGCAGCAGGGCCAGGGGTCTGGAGGGAAAGGTGCTCCGCTGCCACCTCGTGTGACTTGCCGAGTTTGCGTTTCTCCCCACAGTTGTCGAGCGCCTGACACTCGGGTGGGCCCAGGACAGCTCTGCCCTTTCTCTTCCTGCTAACGACTCGACTGGAGCCGCCTCTTTCATGGGTGCTGCCCCTCTGATGGGGTCAACACACAGAGGGCCGTCAGCCCAGGTAACAGGGCCAGCCCCAGTCACGTCTGAATGTTGTCCCCTTGTCCATCCTTAAACATAGTAGCGTTGTTGTTGTTGTTAGATCCCGTGGGCCTGTCCCCTGAGCCTTCAGGGTTATAGTTGGAATCCTCAGAGATGGGTGGCGGTGGGGTGGCCAGGGACTTCAATAGAGCTCCCTATCTCTGGTCACTGGACGCTGAAATCTTCCTTCCAACATGGTGTCTATTGTGGCCTGAAAGAAAGATGCTTTTGTGGAGGCGAGGAAATCTGGTTAACTTTTCATCTCTCTTCAGTGCCAGGCCATCAGGGAAGTGCTCCTGGAAGTCCAGAGAAACACAGCAACACACTCTCCTCCACACAGAGCCCCTTTCACCCCAAGGCACTTGTCAGACTATGTATGGGGATTACCTCACCTCCCTCTTTGGGGTGGAAGGCGACAGCTGTCCACTTCCCAGATGCTTTGCATATCCATTTGAGAGGAAGTGAGGGGGCGTTGGGGGTGATGGGGTGTATTATCTAAGCTGGACCCAGGCCAGTGTGAATTGTGGAACCAACGAGCGCACGGCCCCTTGCCCTCGGCTTTCCAGCTCACCAGGAAGATGGCGACAAACCATTAGGAGGCTGAGCACAGGAGGAAGGAAAGGACAGGCTGTGAGGGTTAGTGGCCTCCTTGGAGCTGGGGCCAGAGTGACCTTTCAGTGGAGAAATTGAAGTGGGCAGGGTCGCGTTATCAGGCGCCTTGGAGGTCATGGTGTGTTTTATTTTTTTTTTTTAATTTTTTTTTTCCAACGTTTATTTATTTTTGAGACAGAGAGAGACAGAGCATGAACGGGGGAGGGGCAGAGAGAGAGAGGGAGACACAGAATCGGAAACAGGCTCCAGGCTCTGAGCCATCAGCCCAGAGCCTGACGCGGGGCTCGAACTCCCGGACCGCGAGATCGTGACCTGGCTGAAGTCGGACGCTTAACCGACTGCGCCACCCAGGCGCCCCGGTCATGGTGTGTTTTAGAAGGAATTGCCTTCCAAGTGAGAGTGTTAGTTAATTGTCGTGAACTTGAAGGGACAGGTGTGCAACCATTCCCAACAGGATTCATCTTGGGTGAGAGCAGATCCACTGTGGCCCTTATTTGCCACTGGCCCACTGAATGATTTTCCTGTAGCCAGACTGGCCCCCTCCTGGGGTGTCTCTCAGGAAAGTCAGGCATGCTAAGGGACAGACCTCCAAGCTGATTTCCCCAGCACCTCAGCAGATTTAGCCAAAAGCCTCACTGAGAATTCACTGAGAAAGATTTTGGCGCTCTCCTTGTCTAAGCCCTCTCTTCCTCTTCCTCCATTTTACTGATGAGGATGCCATAGCCCAGGGAGACATGGGCTGGGACAAGGACCTGGATCACCTGACCAGTCACATGCCATCCCTGTCCTGCTTGCGTGGGCACTCCCCCTGTCCACCGGCATCCTGTGTGTCTGGGTGTGCCCTTTTTGTAGAGAGCAGTGAGATGTGAGAGAACGTCCCCTTGGGTGGCTGGGCCAGGCCAGACCCCACTGCCGGAGAGATCTCAAGGCCAGACTCGGCTCTGTCTCCACAGTGAGGCCTTGCCTGGTTGTCCCCTCATGGCTGCATGTTAGCTTACCTTCAGCGCTGAGGTGAAGAGTGAAAAGCTTGTAGGGCAAAGGTTTCTGTTTCACTAATGGATCATAAAAGTAGCCTGTGTTCATGGGAAATATAAACCACAAAAATAATATAAAGTCAGACACAAGCCCCAGTTCCCATTTCTGATCTGAAGGCATTTGAAGGGGCTAGGCCAAGTTTTACCTGCTTTACGGGTATTTGTTTTACTGAATTATTGCAGCACTGGAACAGGAACCATTCTTGTTTTACAGATGAGAAGACCAAGGCACAGAGATGAGTGTTCCTGAGCTCACACAGTGATGCCCCCCTTGGCGGAAGCAGATTTCAAACTCAGGCTGTTCAACCCCCGTGCTGGGCTCTTAAATCACTTGACTTCTTTGACCTGCTGTTTCCTCCTCAGCAAAATCAGCCTGATGGGGAAAACACATGAAGTGTGCCTCAGAGCTGGGCTGGAAGAGATGCCTACGAGCGAGATGTGTTGTTTTCACACAACAAAAAGCTATACAGCAACGAAAAGGGACAAATTGCAGCTACAGGTGGAGCAGCAGAGGAAGCATATGACTCCCGTGCATGGTGAAGACAGCAAGGTACAGTATATCAAGGATGATTCCTTTTCTGTATGACTTAAAAAAAACTTCTTTAACGATTACTTATTTTTGAGAGAGAGAGATAGAGTATGAGCAGGGGAGGAGCAGAGAGAGAGGGAGACCCAGAACCCGAAGCAGGCTCCAGGCTCTGAGTTGTCAGCACACAGCCCCAGCATGGGGCTCAAACTCACGAACTGTGAGATCATGACCTGAGCCGAAGTTGGATGCTCAACCGACTGAGCCACCCAGGTGCCCCTCCATTTCTATATGACTTTTAGATAAGCAAAACAATATATTCCAGGATGCATTTATAAATGACAAGCCATAGTGACAGCAAGGGGACTGGGTATCTCAGAACTCAGGACACTGTTTCGCCCAGGGGTGGGGGATGCGGGTGGGAGGACGGAGGCATGAGTGACAGGAGAGGGGCTTCATGGAACTTCCAAGGACCACCAGTGCTTTATTTCCCAACCTGGGGAGTGTTTGCACACCGATGTTTGCTTCATTACAATTTGAATCACACTGTGGGGTATATTCTTCTGATTGTAGTTCTCAAAAAAAAAAAAAAAAAAAAAAGTCAAATTTCGATTACTTAGCCCTGGCCTATTAAAATGCATATGCTTGAGGCCCAGCTCGTTAAAATGCAGATTTTCTTTCAGGAGATCTAAATCTGGCTGAGAAATCTGCATGTTAACACCTTCCCCTGGTGATTTGTGGTGTTTCTGGCACTGAGAAGCTGTTCCAAGAGCAAGAATCGATGCCATACCTGCAGAGAGGCCAGATGCTGGGAAGAAAGGAAAGCGTAAAGCAAAGCCCCTCTCAGACTTTAAGTTCCTTTGATACAAAATTCTAGTCCGGAACTTCCATCTCCGCACCTTTTCCAGAGCCTGCAAATACGGAGTCCTGTAATGCAAACCACGAGTGCCTCTGAGCTGTGGTAGGCGCACTCCAAATCGCAAATCCGCAAGGCATTGCACATCTGGATGGAGCACGAGCCTTGGAAAAATTGTGCCTCTTGGTATCCATGGTGTCTGAAGCAAAGCAAAACAGTATGTGAAGGGTGGGATATGGAAACACGGTGGCTGGAGCCCCTTATTAAGGGGTGTCGAATGTCACTGACAGCCGCTGCCCTTCTACTGCATGAAGGTGATAAATGTTAACAGGGACTCTCACGAGTTCTCTCACTTGGGTCTCCCCCAGCTGTCTCCATCAAGTCTTAAGTTGTGAATCCTCCTGGCAGTTGGGAGGGAATACAGTAAATTCAGTCGATATAGTGGAATAGGCCTGTACACACAGTAGCCCCTGGGTTCCAAGGCCCCCTCCAAAGCTGCCCCCACCCCAAGGCTGCCCTCATGTTCACTTGAAGTCTAAAGAACAGAAGCCTTCCAAGCCTCTTTTTTTGGTATTGGAAACCTACCTATGCCAACATGTCAGGTTCTTGGTGACTGTCAGGAGCCCCCGCCTAGGAGAGGTAGTGGGAAGCCACAGTTCTCCCCCTCCGAGCTGGCTACCGGGAGATGTGCTGCTGGGAAAGCAAATCTCAGACCCCACGTGCGACAGCGACTAGGGAGCACGTGAAAAAGACTCCTGCCACCGAAAGCTTGGCAAAGCGTCTGTTCGCTCTCTGCAGATGCACGTCCATGGGGAACAGGAGGATGGGTGGCAGGGGAGAGCAGAATCCCACGGGAATCTGCTGCTAAGGGTCTGCGGGTGGGGACGGGGGCAGTGAACTCCCTATAGGAGTTCCAGACTCAAACCTTCTGCAGATCTTAGGTGGTTGGGCCTGCCAGGTTCTCATGCCCCAAGTCTACTGGGGACAGAGGTACCTAGATAACATTTCTGGCCACTCACATATTTGGACTGGATTCACTTCACCAACGACGAAGTTATAATGACAGGGAGTAGAGATTCATTCCCGGAGGTTGTGCTCACTTTGGTCCGTGTGCTGGCAGAGGGGAAGGGGCGGAGTAGAGATACTCGACACAAGTTCCTTACCAGCCCCGGGCCGGCCCCGGCCCCAGGGAATCCCAGCAACCCCAAGTAAGGGAAATGAAGAACCTCAAGCTTCTTTAGGCAGCGAACCCCACAGGGGCCACCAGCCTTTGCTGTGGGAAGAGGGCATTAGCTGTCCCCTTGAGCCCCACTTGCTCGGGGAAGCTGTTGAGGCCTGAAGGGAGCTTCAGGTCACCTCACGTTCCCCAGAAGGCTGAGTTTACATGGTGTGGGGAACCCAGGGTGGCTGCCACCTTCCCCTCCCACTGGGGGCTCCGTGAGCCTCAGAGGCACCAGCATCCAGAAGCTCTCCAAACCCCATACTTCAGGGATTTTTATGGAGGCCTTACTATGGGGATGAACCCAGGGGATGGGTGGGGGGAAGTGCTGAACATCCCAGGCTTCTGACCATGCTTGGTCTTTCAGGTCACCAACCCCTGTGCTGAAGGTAGCCAGGAAGGAGCCTGCCAAGAGTCACTTCATTAGAGCAAAAGATATTCCCATCACCCAGGAAACTCCAAGGGATTTGGGAGCTCTGTGTCAGGAAGCAAGGGCAAACAAGAGATGCTCCTAGCACCTTAACGGAGTAGGAAATTACAAAGGTTTTAGGAGTTCTGGCCAGGAGCTGGGTTCAAACACCAAAATATATAGTTCTTCTGCCATCATAACATCACATTGTAACAAGGAGTTCATGGCTGTGCAAAATCCCCTGGGGAGCCCGGCTGCAATTTTCTAGGTGCACAGACCTTTAAAAAATGAAGTCGATTTAAAATCCATGCTAATACAGTAGCAGGAAGCTTCTAGCAGTCTGTGACTATTTAAATTACATTTCATTTAATTTAAATTTAAAGGAAAATTCAATTCTTTTGTTGTACTAGCCACTTTTCAAGCGCTCTGTAGCTGGCTAATGACCACCATATTGGTCAGTGCAGATAAAGAAAATTTTAATTGGACAATGCTGTTTTAAATGCCTTCACTAAAACAATAAGACTTTATCACCATCAAAGAAAAAATAGTTTCAATGTAGTATAATCGTGTTTTTAAGAACAGATTTGAACAGGCTTCCCAAATGTAATTGTGCATAAGAATCATCTAGGGAATCTTGTAAAAATTCACGTTCTGATTCCGCAGGTCTGGGGTGAGGCCCTAGATTCTGCATTTCTAGTAAGCCCACAGGTCATGCTAATGTTGCTGGTCTTTGGACCATCCTTTTGGGCAGTGAGGGATCACTGGATTAATTAAAAAACACCCAGGGTACATTTTATTGATGAACCTTGGGAATGGGAAGCAAGTTCGAAATTGCATCATGAGTGATGAGCGTCATCTTTCACTCCTGGCCAGATACCTTGGCCGCTGTGGACTTCATTCAGACAGTATGTCTCAAGCCTAAATTTCAGGCCTGTTGTTAGGCCCCGCCCAAAGGCCCGTTTCCCAGAGTGATAGGTCCTGGCATCAGGAACAGCTTCCCTCTTAGGGCCCCATCAGGCCAAAAGGCCCCGGCTCCCCCGGGAATCAAGGCGACTTGCCATGACAGCTGCCGGGGACAGCTCCTCTCAGAACAGTGAACTGGATGCCTTGTCTCAGCCTCTCCTTTATTTCTTGTCTTTTTCTCAAATGTAAAAATAGAGAAGTTCAAAGCCCCCATATTCCCACCGCCCCAAATTACCACCGTTACAATTTGTCACATATTCCTTCCAGTGCGTCCCACGTATGTTGTTGATTCAGTGGCCTGAGATGAACATAGCCGCCGAGTGTTCACACCTGGTGTGGTGCTGGCCCTGTGACTTACCTAACTACGGGATGTGGCGGAGGTGATGCTGTGCCAGCCCTGAGGCAAAGTCTTGAGGAAGCCTGACAGTTTCTGGGTTTTCACTGATGGAAGCTCTTTGTGCCTGGCCACTCTGCTGGAGTGATCACATTGGCGACTGCGTGGAGAGACAGCCGGACGAGGACTGACCAGGAGGCCCAGCCTACGCGGAGACGCAAGGCCTCGGCTTGCAGCTGAGTGAGGCTACCAGGTGGCTCCCAGCAAGACCAGCCAAGGGACTGCCCCAGAGAGCTCAGCCAAGGTGGAAGAACCAGGAGCAAATAAAACGGTACTGGTTTGGGGGCACGGGGGTGGTTCATTCGGCTGAGCATCTGACTCTTGATTTGGGCTCAGGTCATGATCCCAGGGTTGTGGAATCAAGCCCTGCGTCAGGCTCCATGCTGAGCTTAGGATTTTCTCTCTCTCTCTCTGTCTCTCTGTCTCTCTCTCTGCCCTCTCCCCCGCTCATGCTGTCTCTAAAATAAAATTAAAATTAAAAATACCTTCGTTGTTTTAAACCAGGAGGTTTTGGGGTGGTTCCTAGGTGGCCACAGTTTACCAGAACCTAAGTGACACAGGACATAGGTAATGGAAGTGTAGCCAGCCCATCCCCTGTAGGACCTGCCCCTTCTGGGTGCTGCCCCCTTATCCTCAGACCACAAGTGCCTTCAGGCAAGGGTAGCAAAGGATTAAATGAATTCACAGGAAGAGCAGGTAATATTTATTTACTGGCTAACATATATCTCATGTCAGTCCCGAAACGTATATGAGGTGGCTTATCAAAAATATACGTAATGGAAGATTGTCTTCAAAGTTCGCAGGGTGAGGTGGAAGGGAAAAGGCAAGAGCAGGAGGAAAATGCCACTTGCCAGGTGAAGGTCCGTGAGGACATGCCCGCTCTCGTGTTTGTGTGGGGCGGGGGCTGTGAATGTGGCCTCGTGAGCCCTTGTGACCAAGACCTGGAGAAAGAAAGCAATGATCAGGCCTGCCCCAGGAAAGGGACGACATGGAAGGAGCCAGGAATGAGCCAGGGACCGCGCAGTGGGTGCGAGGAGCCAGTAGGAGGTAGTGGGCGGTGAGGGTGGCTCCAGGGATGGATGGTAAGTCGAGGCCAGACTCCAGCTCCAGCTCAGCACTGAGGAGCCCCCCTGAGAGAACAGCGGCCACTCAGAAAGTAGCAAGTGCCCTATTCCTGAACAGATGCTCCTGAGGTGGGCACTGCAGTGACAGCCCAGCCTTGGGGACTCAGCCCCGAGCATCCTGGGGCCCTCTCCGGCCCAGTCATGCCTCCCCTTGTCCTTCCGCCTGAACTGGCCCTGGGTGAGAGGTCACTGCTCAAAGTGAGGCCTGGCCAGTCCAGTTCAACTACGGTGTCCAAAAGAGCCCTGCATCTCCTCGAGCCGAGGGTGGTTCTGCCATTTCGTGGTGTCATCCTTGCCGGGCATCTGTTCCCGTGAGAAGTACCATCACAGATGGTGTGTGGTCAGGTAGGAGCTGCAACTTCCAGCCTCTGAGTTTTGTTAGGGGGTTGGGAGCTCAAGAAAGGCTCTACAGAGGAGGGCTTTGAGGGGCTAGGAGGTGGGGACACCGGGCTGTAAAGGGAAGGGTGATCCGGGCAGAGGGAACAGCAGATGCAAAGGCCAGAAGTGGGCGTTCCGGCTTCCTATGTAGCAAGAGCATGCAGTTCCTCCACAGGCTTGGGGGTAGGCCCAGCACTGGCCACAGGTGGGCCTGGCTGAGGTCGGGCTGGGGGAGGTTGCCGCCCTTCAGCTCCCCTGGTGCTCCTTGTTCATGGGGAGGAGGACTTCGTTCCGGGGGGAGAAGGCAGCCCCGGACACTGGGGCAGGTGGGCTCCTCACCCCCATGCCTGTAGCTCTGGCCTCCAGCTCTGTGGGTTTGGGCCTGAGTGTAGGGCTGAGGGTCGGGGGCTCTCTGGTTCTGTTCCCCACCCCTAATCCCTTGCAGCTGTTGTCCTCCCCAGGAAGGACAGTTGTGTTGGAGGGAAGGGAAATAGTTATTTTGAGTTGGTCACTGGCTTCTGACCAGGGGACAACGGATGGCTGTGTTGGGGCCTGGCAACAGGGTGGGCTGGAGGGGCCAGAGCTGGGCCTGGCTGGGAGGGCAGCCCACATGATTAATTACAGGGGGTGCTGGGGAGCGGGACGTGATCCTCCCTGAGGCTGGGGCTGTAGAGACCAGCGAGGAAACAGGCTCGAGATCGGGGATGCCCAATACGGAGCTAGCGTCCTAAGTGTAGTCTGGGTTAGCTGGAGGGGTGGGGAAGGTGGACACAGCCTCCCATATTGGCCCCTGTGCCACTGGCAACAGTGGATAGGAAAAGGAGGTCCCTGTGACAGAGACTGGGGCTGTGGGGAGGGCTGCCTGTGAGGGGCTAGGCTGGCGGGCAGCCTGTGGTCACTGTTCACCCCCTTCCAGGCAGACCTTCCCAGCACCTCCTTCCCAGCAGAAACCACGTTTGGTGGAGACCATACCCTCTGGTGGCATCTACCCTTCTTCTCCGTGGGATCACAAGCAGGTGAGAGCACTTTGGGGCAGAGGAAGCCAAGCGGCCAGAGGTTATCCCCTTCCCTCTAGGGCTTACCATGGTGGGCTTGAACCCTGGCTCTACCACTTACCAGCCCTGTGAACTCAGGCCATAAAGTGGGCCTCCCTGAGCCTTCCCATTTACAGAAACAGGAATTACGATAGTGATAAGCCCCTCCTAGGGCTTTGGTGGGGATCCCCAGAAACTGGATGGACTGTGCTTAGGGCAGGACCC